CACAGCGACAACATACATGCATCAAGGTAGGTTTTACATTCATGTGCAAAATAATGTTAAATTAATTTGAGGCACATTTTTTATATAATGATGTGTAAAAAGCACTTAATTGTGTACTGTGCTGCCATAAACGCTGTGGTTGTAAAAAATGACATGAACCTACCATCACAGGTATCAAGATTAAAGTATTAGTTTAAAAAAAAAACATTTTGTTCGCTTAATCACTTTGATGTGCTATGTGCGTTGCCGCTAAAGAGTGGGCGTAGCTCTGGTACGGAAAATTAAATATTTTGTGAATATAATACAATAGTTGCGCAGTTTCAGTGACGGGTCAATTGACATGCGCAATTCATCACATCAGTTAGCTGACCTATCAGCCAACCGGAAATTCTCGTTAATGTTAATGTTATTGTGTTATTATGTTTAATGAAATGATAACAATTTTCAAGAAACCGTATTTTTTTTTCGCTCTGAATATTGCTTTATTTGACCAGAATGGTTTGTTTACATGTGTGTTAACTATTTCGTGGCATATTTCTGTGTTGATAAACCGCTAGTAATTTTACTTCTTACGCATAAAATCATCGCTCGGTTATACACGTGTTTTTGACATGATTTGTTGTTAGTAAAGTATAGATCGCGTCCTATTTGACAGTTACACAATCGTCGTAACGGTCCGAAGTTACGCGGTGTCATCAGAACGGGTTCGGAAGGTGTGAATTGCGCAGGATTAATCTCAAGTAGAGCGTAAATAGCGGCAACGCATATAGATCAAATGACAGTTAGTCGATGTTCATCCTGTGTTTGTAGGTCCATGCATACATATTGTTTCATATGTTGCGTGGTTACCTGCAGTTTAATCTGTTGCATGGTAAACTACAATTTGTTACATTGTGTGGGAACTTAGAGTTTCATATTCTGTGTGGTAACAATATTCATATGTTGTGAGATCGGAAAGGTGTAATGCGATTTTCTAACATAAAGTACGCTGAATTGGGGATATAAGGTCTGACGCCCGTGCCGTATGTGATTGCATAGACCATTACATTGATCAACATTATATTATAGTACATCAGTATTTGCACTGCGTATTCTTATGATGAACTCTAAATGTACGCATAATACACATGACAATGTCATATATTATAGGTACAGATGGTGAACAATGGCTATGGAAAATCACTTTAGATCCTATGCCGCCGAGCGGGCCAATCAGCATCACGATAACACATACCTCGTCTACTACTGATGAAATAACGCTAGATGACGTACTGTTTGGTGACGTGTGGCTATGTGGTGGACAGAGTAACATGGTTTTTACTGTGACTCAAGTACACATTATCTAATATTTATTTAACATAGACATAGATAATATGTAACGTAGTGAATGGCTGTGTTATTTTGTTCATCACGGATGTGTTTGGGACTCGGGTCTGTCTGCATAGCATATAATTTACTTCACATGTTGAATTATAATTTATAAATATGTTTCTAATGGTCAAATTTGTGGATCAATAATTCCGCATCACTATCACAGTGTAACGCTTGTTTATTGCTATTGAGAGTGGGTCCCACATGTCTCACACTGGACAGGGGGGCTCTTTCACTGCTAGAATGGGATAGACAAGACAATAAAATACACACACATCAACATATTAAGTTAAAGCTTCTGGTTTTAATACTTTTTAAAATAATTACAAGAAACAAAACACAGAATAATACAACGTACAAATTTACTAAAAAAAGGGATTCTCTAGGGAAGTGTAAAATTTTAATACACATAATACAATATACGTCTTCTATATTATTAATTTAAATCAAAAGTGTTCAATATTATTTTTATTGATTTGATATATAATTTGTTTAAAATTACACTTAAAAGATTACAATATTGTTCTCCTTTAATATCCCCCCCCCATTATTCCCTTATCATCCATGACACATAATTGTTAATGTGCTGCAATGTGTTCTTTCTTGATACCTGTAGGTTTTCAATGCAACAATCGAAGCACTCATATCTTCTGAATATCCACATATCAGATTATTTACAGCCAGTGAGATTCATTCGGAAACACCACAGAATGATTTAACATCAGTGAAACAACCTTGGTCAGTTCCATCACCTGGTAAGTGGCTCATTTTAGTATAGTAACTATTCAGTCGTCTCATCGTTGTATATATGTACCGCAGTGTTCATCTCATATTGATTTATATGAAGTTAAACACCTTACATTCATATACTTTGGTCTATTGCATAATGTGGTATGTGAGACATTTTG